GTGCACCCTTAGTCTACCTTTATAATGTCTCCTTTCAGGCCTTTGTATTTTCATAGATTCATAGATTGTCGAGTCAGAAGGGACCCAATGGATCATCGTGTCCAACCCCTGCCCCTGGCAGGAAAGAGGACCGAGGTCAGATGACCCCAGCCAGGTGACCATCAAGCCTTCTCTTGAAGACCTCCAAGTTAGGTTATAGGGCCATCTCTCTTGGAAGCCCGTTCCAGACTCTACTGTAAAAAAAATTCTTCCTAATGTCTAACCTAAATCTACTCTCTACTAGTTTGCACCCATTGTTCGTAGTTACTCCCTGGGGCGCTCTGGTAAATAGCACATCCCCAATCCCCTGCTGTCCTCCGCTGATAAACTTATAGGTGGCAACAAGGTCACCCCTCAGCCGTCTTTTGTAACGGCTGAAGAGAACAAGATCTCTTAACCTCCCCTCATAGGGTCTTTCACGGAGACCACTAATCATGCGAGTGGCCCTTCTCTGAACCCTCTCCAGATTCTCTGTATCCCTCTGGAAGTGCGGCGCCCAGAACTGGACACAGTACTCCAACTGCGGCCTGACCAGTGCCGCGTAGAGGGGGAGCATCACCTCCTTCGATCTGTTGGTCATGCATCTGCTAATACACGACAAGGTGCAATTGGCCGTGTTGATGGCCTTGTTACACTGCCGGCTCATGTTCATCTTGGAGTCAACTATGACTCCAAGATCTCTCTCAGCCCCTGAGCTGCTGAGGAGGTCATCCCGCAACCTGTAGATGTGCTGGGGATTCCTCCTTCCTAGGTTGAGTACCTTGCATTTATCTTTGTTGAATTGTTCAACAAATTCAAAACAAAATATCTTTTGTTTACCTGTATCTCATTACTGCTTTAGTTAAACATGTGGGTGGCTGCCTTTACTTTGCTGACCAAGCTAGTTGTCACATCTGCCAAGGGCAACAGGCTTTGGGGCATTCTGCTTAGCCACACTTCTGCATCTTGGCCTCGGCACCTTGAAAATGGCCAAGGCTAGCAACACCCAGTGCACAAGTCAAACATGAGCATAATGGTCATCTTTTTTATTAGGCCCTGTTCCCAGTTGCACCTAAATTTACCGAAGTAGTTTCCCTTTGGCTTGAAAGTTCCTTAGCATGAGGGTAAAGCTTTTGAGGCAGTTTATTGGGGGTGGGGAATCAGTTGGGCTTTAGGTAATAATGAGAGGAAGGGAATATACACTGTAATGTAAAATAATTTTTAAAAAACTCTGCAGTTTGCAAAAGATAGGGGTAGAAAAAAAGCAGAAATCTGGCTGGGAAATGCCCTCAGTAAAAAGAGGTGCCTCATAAAATCATGAAAAGTAGGAAAGTGGGACTGGAAGGGACCTCATGAGGTCATCTAGTCCAGCCCTGTACTCACGTTAGGTTCATCCTTGACTTAACTGTCCCAGCCAATTGTCTGTCCAAACTGCTCTTGAAAATGTCCAGGGTTGGAGATTGCACAGCATCTCTAAGTAGCCCACTCCAGTTCTTGACCTCCCTCCATAGTCAGAAAGTTCTTCCTAATCTCCAACCTAAATATCCTCTGTGGAAGTTTGAGGGCCACTGCGCCTAGCTCTGTCCCCTGCAGCCACAGGGAAGTGGCTATCTGTATCCTCTTTCATAGTCTGGCAAAAACAATGTGAGACTTCGAAAAGTGTGTTCTGGATGCATGATTTCTTTTTCGTACGACTTCCTCGCTAAAGTCCTATGCATACAAAACTGGATGGTAATCTTTGATGTGCCTATTGCTGGGTACCCAAGGTAAGATGCCTTCAAATGGGGCTCGTTTTCGGAAAGTGCCAGCACCTGCCTTCTACAAAATCTGGCTTCCTTCAGTTATCTGTGTTGGAAACACAAGAATCAAGTTGCTTCAAAAATCACAGTTAGCTTTGCTTAGATTTATAAGCGTTTAAAGGCAGGCAGCCGAAGAGGAGGACCTTTAGCTGAATTTAGTGAATACTTAGACACAGTGAAGGCGCAGCTTGTGCCTGACTGTACAATAGCAATTGAGCAGGGGTCGGGGCTGTGGCTTTAACCTGCAGGAGTTGGGGTGGTTCAGTGAGGCAGCTGGTGTCATGGGGCTTATATTGGCACAGGGAGATAAATTGAGTGGTCCACGGCTGTACAGTGCTGAGAAGAGAATTCAGGTCTTGTTTCTCCTTGTGGCTTGCCTGTCCTGTAGCACTGTCCTTCCCCAGCTTAATTGAAAGAACTTACAGCCTACCTGTAATAAATATGTGAAAGCTTCTGCTGCTCTCCATGCAGAGGAGAGTTTACTGCTTGCTGATGAATGTAACGCTTAGACATAACTACCTCAGTTGGTGCAGAGAGCTGATATGCTGACAGTTGAGCTCAAATCCTGCTGAGTTAAAAGAGGAATGAGCAGGGAGTCTTGGCTAACTCCCTGAGTAGCAAGTTGGTGACATTAAGAAGCCCGGCCGTCTCCTGTAGGAGGTGCTTAGGACTGAAGGGCAGTGACATATGCATGATAGGGGCTAATTTGTAGTGCACCTCCTTGTACAGAGCATGATATATGCCAGAGTCTTGGCTTGCTCCAGTGCTTCTGGTGCTGCCTGTCTTCTGACTTGGTTGGAAAGCTGGTAGTCAGGAAAGGAGGCCTTGTGGATGCACGCATCAGGCTAGGCATGCATGTTGTCTTTGCTTGTTTTGCCCCGTGCGCTGAAGACTGATCCTTTTAATATGGAGGGAGGAGGTGACTTCGCAGCCCTTGTGCAATATGTAACCAGATATTGGAGTTATTCTTACCCAGCTGGACGATCTCCGGTTTGGCTGGACAGACTGAGCCTTGTTTGGGCTTGGACAGGAAAAAGTCTGAAGAGCTGTGAGGCACTGCTGGAGTTGATCAGTGCAACTGGGAGGAAAAGCAAAGCTGCTTCTGCCGGGGCTGGCTGACATGGCTGCACTCACAGTAGACCTTGATGTCTGGACCAAGTGAGCCTTAGGTGTTGTGGTGACTGTTGCGTTAAGAGAAACTGGGTGCTGTTCTGTGCTGCCTGAAAGATGTAGCTGTTTTACATCCTGCTGTCATGTGGGTGTTATTGGCCATACTAAAGGCACTGCAGCAGCCTGTTCCCCTCCTCCCAGCTCCTGCCTCCAAAAATAAAACTTTACTTTACAGAAAGCAGTTGTGCAGTGAGTGCTGGACTCTGTGGTGGTTTTTGAGTTGTAGGATAGGTCCATCAGTGAGTGTTTAAACATTTTAGGAGCATAACTTCTCAGTTAGGATTTCCAAAGCCTCTGAATGCTGAAAGCTATAAGGGATGAGGGGCACGGGATGGATCATTCTGGATAGGATGATCCTGCATAAATGCTCTCTTCCTTAGCATCTTCTCTCTGCCACTGTAAGAAATGGGAGATTAGGTTAGATAGGCCTGTGATCCAACCCAATATGGCATTTCGTAAGTTTTTAGCTACTGTCATCGCCTTGTGTACTATGAAATACTATCAACTTCCAGTTAACAGGGCTATTTTGTTGTACTCCATAAATCGGTAATCTTTTCATTTTTTTCCTTTAAATAAACTCTCACTGAATTTTCTTTCCAGCATTCAGCGAGCCGCTTTGGTGGTTTTGGAAAACTACTACAGAGATTTCACGGTCTATAACCCAACTTTGTTAACTGCCTCCAAGTCCCGTGCAGCCAAGCACATGGCTGGCCTGAAAGTCTACAATGTTGATGGTAGGTGAGGTGATGTCATTTGCTGACGCCTGGGGTGGGGAAGAGAAGGATTTGTTCTTATGTTTCATTATTTGCCTCATTCTTACCGTCTCTCTCAGTGGAGATCTTCCACATCATGCTAATCTGCTGGCATTGAATTCCTTTACAGGTGGTACAATATGGTGTGTCCTGACTAGGGAAAGCAGCCCAGTTCAGGTTGAGTTAAGTTAGCGTGGGTTATTTGAGCCTAACCGAACAGCTCTTCCTAGTCAGTGTGATGCCCACCTAGGTAGCTATGCCACCTTCTAAAAGCAGGGCCCCTTCTGAGGGGTTTGAAGTGTCCACTTAGGTCTTCACACTCCTTTCACTTTATCCCCTTAAAAACAGAGTTGGTTAAACTGGCCGCAGTTTTGCACCAGGATGAGTAGCAAAGCAGTGATTCTCATCTGGGGTGCCATGGCACTCTGGGATGCCCTTTAAGGGGGCCATTGTGCCCACCCCAGCAGTGCTTACAATGGCTCTTTTGAGGACTGCTGCCCTCCCCTGCCCAGAAGTACCTGTGCCAGCATGGCCCCTTCTCTGAGCAGTGTGCTCTGCTGGAAATGGGTGGGCAGACACAGGGCTGGAACTGCACTTGGCAGACCCATTTCTCTCCCTTCTCCTCTCCGCCAGCTCCCAGGGCTGGTGGGCAATGTTACAGGGCAGGTAGCTCCAGTTGTTAGCCTCTGAGACCCCAGAAAAGAAGCCAAAGACCTTGGCCTGTGGAAGGTGGTAGGCCCATCTAGGGCTTTATGTTGACTAGCAAGAGCCTAATTCTTTGCCAGTTTTAAACTAAATCTATACATGCCTAGCTTAAGTAACCAGGGGGTTGTAGCAGTGTGTCCATGGCCTTTCATAAAACCAGGGGTTCCAGTAACCTGGGCACTTCAGCTGTGTTGGAGTCTTCTCAGCTCCTCAGGATAGAGCATCTCACAGAGGTGAGGCAAACTTACCACCTGGCAGCCCTGGGAAAACAGCCAACATTAATTTTGACTTGAGTCTGGAAAATCTGGACTGCCCAGTATGTGAATGGGCTCATACTGAAAGATTCTATAAAGGGTGTGTGTTGGGAGGGATTTGATGACATAGAGGGTGCCCTTTTTTTTTTTTTTTTT